CGTTATTCGGGTGCAGAAGCGAACACGACACTATTTATTTTCGAACTGATTTATTTGAACTAAAGAAACACTAATTTATATCAAACTTATAACTACTATTTATGTAAAACGATTTATAACACGCGGTATATAACTGTCTCTCTGACACTCGCTGCTCGACTGACTGACAGCAGTTGTTCGACCGTTTATATATGAGATCACTTGGCAGGCTTTGGTTCGAGAAGGTTCTCGAATGATCTTCCGTCACATTCTTTTTGTTCTAGAAGCTTCTTGGAACAAAACCTCTCTCTCTAATTGTTCCATCGATTGTTTCCAGAACATTCCAGAATCTTCTGTGACGTTATTTGTCACTGCGGCATATATTGAGTGTTCGGAAATATGCTGGTGTATGTAGGAATCATTGAGAGTTTGGAAAGCAATCTGGGACGCATGATATAGGATGATCGTTGTACTCCTGCCTTCCTGCTGATGTTTCTAAAGCCCCTCCAAGGGAAATATCATTACAATATTATAACCACGGGACCTTACACCCGTCAGCTGATGCCTCGGGATATAATCTTATAGTCCCTGGGTAATAATGATATACATTACTACCTTGGTGTATAAATAACTATTCAGTAAACTACTGCGGCGGAAATTATAATCAGGAAAATCGGAATATCTCGAAAACTGTGATAAATAAGTTGACATCAATCATTCAATGTTATCTGAACTCAGAATGAGAAGGCCGTGTGAAAAAATTGGGTTACGACAGTATACCAAGGTATACCAAGGAACATTTCTGATGACTGGCTTAAAGGTAAATCACCATTTATAATATGTATAAGTTATGCAAATCAATGTTGAGGTAATTTATTATACAAGTTTTTCGCTTGAAGAAGCTTATATGTTAGCAAAACATGTCATGTTCATCAGAATTTTGTAGTTTTCTTATCGTCTGTTGAATGTTCTTTGAATATTCAGTTATCTATGTAGCAACAGGACAATTTTATTGGTGTCACTGAACCATCGTAGCGACCATCGAAATATTCCATTGATTTGCAGCTTTCCACCTGTGGAGATCAAAATATAAGACATTCGGTCGCGTCAATACCTGTGGAAAACATAAAGCAGAGAGCAACACTATTTCAACGGCCACTACGATGCTACGGTCATTTATAGGATTTATATGTTAATTCAGAAAATTTCCCTCATTTTGCGAATCTCTATATCACCTCTCAAAACTTTTCTACAAAAATCTGGACCATCCTGTACATAATATACAGGGTGTATCTAAATAACATAGAGAAAATTAGAGAGGTGATTCCTTGTGAAATTTCAGAGAATAAAGTTTTTATAACCTTGTCCTAACTATTTCTTTTCAAGAATTGCAAACAATATATCAATGGAAACCAAAATCACAGTCTATAAGACCATTATTCAACCGCATGTTGACTACTGTGCAACAATTTTATATACATTCAACCTCAACAGTTATCCCAGCTTCAAAAGCTCCAAAATCGTGGAATGCGTATCATAATGAAGTCAAACCGTTATACCCCAATTGATGTTATTTTTTTTTTTCCTTTATTTGCTCAACAAGAAATACAAAAAATCTTATAGCAAAGAGTTTCAGAGCACCTATAGAATATAATCTAGTAAAAAAAAACTTTCAAAAAGAGAAAAAAAAATTTAAAGAAAATTCACTGCAGAAATACAATATCAATTATAAAAATACAAATAGATATGCAAATACAAATTCAAATATGCCCCCATTACAAATCTCCGAGGAGAAAGAAAGAATCAAATGTGCTTGTATACAATCATAGGTACGAGAGATATACAATTCATTCGTAAAAAAATACATTATGACCTATGGAAACGTTCACCCAATTCATGTAGTATATAAGTTGGTACATATTATATTAAATTGCTTAAGGATCTAACGATATAGAGGGAAATGAAATTATTCGTTGACGATGAAGGCACGTAGCTTCATGATTTCATGAACACACTCGTAAATAATCTTGGCCTCAACAGTACTTATATTTTGAAGAGCAGCAGCTAGAGAGTTTCGATTTTCCAAAAAAGATACGTTGTTTGGCCTGACAACAGAGAGTATAGGACAAATAAATAAGATATGTTCAAGAGTTTGTTGTTCGTGCATATTACATAACGTGCACAATTCTGTGAAATCTATTGTATAAAATGTACCTTCGAACGAAATTTTCAGACGATTAAAGTATGCCATGCGCATTTGCGCGTATCATATAGATTAGTACCTTCGAGCACCTCATCAGATATTTCGCCAAGATTACCTACTCTACAATTAAAATCACCGATAAAAACTATGAGGTGGTCGGGGTATTCATCAAACATACTGGACACAGAAAGCTGGAAATTTGATAATATATCGTCAATATTCAATGATGGTTTTATATAAAGAAAGCATAGTATAAAAGAGAAACTCTGATGCTTTATAAAACACGAAATCCACCAGGGGATTTTCTCAAGTATAGTGCATGAGAAACTTGTTTTTACAAAGATGCACAGACCACCGCTTGCACGACCGTTAGATTTTTCACTTATCGCCGGGACACTAATTATTTGACAATCAGAAAAATTGTGGGGGAGACTAGTTAACTCCACCTTGAGCCACGTCTCGCAGAACCACAGGATATGGAAATCAACAGCAACATCATGGAATTCAGAGAGATGCTTGAAACCTTGTACATTCCAAGCAATTATTGTCAGTGGTTGCTATTGTTTGGTGACTTGCTTATGAACCTTCAAACCCGAGTTGCGTTTTGGAGAATATTCTTAATCACGTGTCCTCTTAGAAGGTAAGGAAATGTTTCCACTATCAGTTTTGGTTGTCTTGACTATTTTGGGCCTATTATTAATATATTTGATAGTTATATCAGCTTCCCCATGACTTTTCCTCTCTTCAAGTTCGGATCTAAGCGCATTTAAATGTTTCTGTTGATTTGGAGTTAGATCTGCTCTAATAGAGATATTGGGAAATTGTTCTCTTGATAGCTTGCGCTTATTCCTCAGAATGTCAAGAGCTATTTCGGATGATAGCAGGATGATTTTGAGCGGCCGCTTTCCACTCGTTGACTTACCAAAACGGATGGCCTTTCTGATATTCTGTTCAGATCCTGGCGCAACAGATTGCAGTATATTTTTAGCCAAGCCCAGATCATCATCATTACCCCTGGACTCAGGCAAACCCATTATCAAAATGTTTTTTTCCCTGAGGATACGCTCATTACATTCGAAGTAAATTTCCTCATTACCCTCCATTACATGATTTTCCAGTTGAGATATTCGGTCGTTTAGTTTCAAATTGTTACATTGTATCGAGGAAATGTTCGACTCACAGTTGGAAATGGCAGTTGCATGAGAGGCCACTAGAGAATGCAGGTCTTCAATATGTTTGTTGCATGAAATGATAGAACTGTTGAGGGAAGAGAGCTGGTTCATGATCAATTCAAAGTGCTTGACCGTCAGAGGTTCATCCTTATTCATAGCTACAGTCGATTTAAAGGAAGAGTCTGAATTTTCGGCGCATTTCGTACATATCCACGTCGAATCTGAGAGCAGCTGACCACACGTCCGATGCGTCTGTTCGAAGCATACTGAACAATGAAGGCTATCGTTATTATCGCCACTGATAGCGGACTCGCACACTCCACAGGTAGAGGGAGGCGGCATCGTGTACGAATATCAAAATAAACTGTTACTGTTTGATGAACGAACGGCACAGAAAAAAGAGTAAATATAGAGTTAAACTCACTAGAATTACAAGAAATTCACCAAATGTATTCCTTGAGTCATCAACAATCACTAGGACAAATTACACAGTTTTCGACAGTGATTTTCACACGGAAAAGCGAAGTTATATTCAGAGATAAATAAATGCGACCGCTACCGATTTACGCTGCTACAGAAACTCTTATGCTTATGCTGGATACACTTCAATGGCTCACAGTTTCCCAAAGATTATATTATCTTAGTATGATTTTTATATACAAAATTTTGAACAATCTGGCTCCTCCATATTTCAAGAATTACATAGTTTTCAATGCAGAAGTTCACAATTACCTTACGAGGAATAAGAATAATCTGCATATTACAAGAACAAATGATTCTAATACCATGAAGATATTATTTTTCAAACTTATAAAAAAAAGAAATAATTGAACTCTCAATATTCTCCCTGGTGCCCAGCCAATTTATGCCATAAAGTATTATCTTTACAATGAATTGTACTATATATAGGTACCCATATTTTTATAAAGATTTTATTTTCAATTATTTTTACCTTTTAATATTTGTGATTTTTATATTTCTATATATTATGTATGTTTTTCAATTGTTATATGTATGTATGTAATTTTTTTGTGTAATTTTTTTGTTGTATATTAGGACATCCTATTTCAAATAAACTACTTCTTCTTCTTGCTTCGTTTTCGAGATACAGTGTATTGGTATTTCCATGAAAAATCGTGTTTTTATTCATCACTCAATTGTCTTTCAGCATAAAAAAAATCTACGAGTGAAGAATCTGGACGAAATAGAGTAACAACGGAAAGGAGAAAGAAGGACCATAATCACTGAAGAATATCACTTCAATGTACTGAATTTAATAGAAATAAATAATTGCGGTACGTAGCTAATGATCAGAAATTCATTCCTGATGCTCTGAAATTGATCGATATGGTTAGGTTCATTATTTATTTGAGTTATTGATGAAACTAATTGTGCATTTTTATTTTGACGAAAAGCTTCACTCAATTGGAGTTTCTACCGTGAATGAAGTTAATAGTTCAACACAGTAGATTGTTCACAAAAAACTCCGTGTCAATCGTGTCTGACATTTTGACGTTACCATTACCAACTTTGAAAGAAGAAATTCACCCTGTCCTAATAGAATCTGTTTCACACATTTGGGTGTCAAAAGAAGAACAGCACTCCTTGAGCATCAAAATATACTCGAATGAATAATAGCAACTTACTTAGTTCCTGTGCTCTGATGAGGGGTATGCAAGATGAAACTACTAATAATAATATGGATCGTGAAAGTATCATCTTGACTGAATGAGTTCTATAACATGGATAATGAACAGATTTACTGGAATATTTATATGGTTTTTAATTATCACTATCGCTGTTGAATATGTTTTGAAAAAAATTTTAATCATAATTATTGTGACTAGACATGATTGTCATTTATACAGGGTGTGCCTGAATTCAAGTGACAACTTCACATTCCTTCAATAGAAAAATTTACGAGTTGTCTGAAATGTTACGAGGTTTATTCTTTCAGACATCTCAGAAATAACTCATTGGTTGATTTTGTGATTGAGTAATAACACCCAGGATATTTATTCAAACCTTCTACACAGGGTGTTTCGAAAAAGGTGACCACGCTGCTAGGATATAGATAAAAAACTGCAAAATAAGTTGAGTATGTCCATAAAAAAAGTTCGTATAAGGGAATCCGTTTGAAAAAATAATTTTATTTAATTGACTTCATCTTTGGACTTTCTCTTCCTTCGGCAAATTTCAGAACCCTACCTCAATAATTACGTGAGATACGGGGGTGCTTCCATAAAAAATGCGACAAAATTTCATTTTTCCGAACTGAAAATTTTCCAGGAAAAATTTGAATAGTTAGTAAATTGGGCGTCCTGATTCCAAATCTGAAGTGATTTTCAACCTATTTTGACTCCTAATATCATTTTCCGGAAATTGGGGTGGTTTCATGGCTGTTGGCGAGCAGTGTATATCACTGAAGATGACCCCACTTGGTCATAGAGTGAATTTTTGGTATATCTCTCGCTCCAGCAAATTTCAGGATCCTTACCCAACGATTACGTAAGATACAGGGGTGGTTCCATTAGAAGTGGGTCACACTGTATGAAAATGTATTGATATTATTAGTAAAATGCACATTTATAACATTGTTAGGTTAAATAAAACCCAATTAACCTACTTTTGTTACACAAAATAATCAGAAATGAATCGATAGTAGCTCACGTTTAAAATTATTCACAAATTTAGTTCACTAAAGTTGGTAGAAATATATTTTCTTGCAAGGAACTCGGAGTACTATTCAGTATACCCATGAAATTTGCGCGCATAATAATATTAGGTTGAATAACATATAATTGAACGACTTTAGTTGAATAAAATGAAGAAAAATAAGTCAGTATTAGATCAATCTTTCAGTTTTTCACAAATTTATTCGACTAAAGTTGATAGAAAATAATGAAAAAGGTGCCCATTAAAAATGATAGATAATAATATAAAAATAGTATAATAATAATGCAAGTTTTGTAATGAAGTATGAAGTGACATTGAAAAGTATCATCAGAAACTGAAATTTTTTGCGTATTCAGTGAAAGAATGCGGGCCAGAAATCTATTCACCGAATTTGTTTGGGATTATCAAATATCATTTGCTTCTGGTGTGCGGAAAATATGGAGCTCTTCGTGGATTACAACAGAATAAGATTGTTTCAAAGTACTACATATATTTCATGAAACATAGATATTTTATACGTTCTAGTGAATGGTCGCTTTTATTTTCTCCATTGAAAAAAGAAGACGTAGCTTAGGAATTTCAACAACACTCAGATGATTAAGTTGAAAATGATGGTTGTTTGTGATGAAATGTAAGGAATAATGAATAGTAACAACATGTGTTTTTGTAAATTCCGAATTTGCAAGTATACCTACATAATATTAGGTATATGGTAAACTGTTGATACCTCTTTTTTATTTATTGACTTATAGAATGAACTCGAAATAATCTGAAGTTGAATGTAAATGTCATATAAACGTCAAAAAATTTCCAGTGTAATTTCATGCTCCGTCCCCAAGGAGGAGGAAAAAATTTCCAAGAAATTTGTTTAGTTGCTATGGTAACGATACGAAATACAGGCTTCAAATTGATGAAAAATGTTTGGTGTGAAATTTTCACATTTATTATTCCCAGTCACCTGGCGACTTATTATTATCACTTGCTAGCCACAGTGAGGCTGTCATACATTTGATTTCACTAACATTACATCTCTTGGCATTGCCTAGAATAGAGTTGAAATACTCACCTATTCATTGATCAAATTCCACTAACATTATTGTAACCTCAAGTAATCTATTGAATTTCAATTTAATCATTACAATAAGTCATTACATTAGCATTAATTGTAGTAAAACATTGACTTATTACACACTGCGTGTAAGCACTTCTAACAACATCATTTAGGTAATTATATGCATGGTTTTCGAAAGGTATAGTTTGATATTTTTGTTCTGTCATATCCTAATTTTTCTCAGATAACTTTGAGGGGCGCCCATAGTTTGCTTTACAGATATTCACATAACATCTTGTGGAAAAACACATAAAAAATAATTTTCTCAAAATCCCACGACCACTCTACGACTATAAAGGCTACCGTGCATTGAGGCTTTAATTTCTTTTTGTGAAGTTACGCCACACAACCCAATTGAAAAACTAGAGGACAAGTCTGTATTTGGGAAAAATTATATTATTTAATGACTAACTTTGAATGTCCTGCAAGTGTAAGTAAAGTTGCATTACATTTGTTTATCGCACTCCATCCAAAACAATTATAAAAATGAAGAACAATGCTCGTTCCGAAAGAATCATAGCTTTCTTACAAACAAAAATAACGTTGCCACAAATCTACATTTTGGAGGTTATACATAACAAAAAATAAAAAACTAGACTTTTCTTCATCCACGTCTGATGCCATATCCACCAGGATGATCATTTATCGGCTCTTCTGATGCAATCTCGATAATAATAATAAAATAAAGTTGCCTGTACGTACATTTTGGTTTGATATCCCAAATCGTTGTAATTGTCAAGATGGCTGATGTTAGAGTACAATTTTGACGTTAGTTGATGAGTTTGTACCTTCAACTTGTGTTTTGTGTTGTATGGTGATTCGTTGATAACAAATTTGATGATAATGAACAAGTTGTATGTCTATGGATTCAACTAAATACAATTCGTTGCAAGGACAATTTTGTTCGAAATAAAGTTATGCTCTTTTCGGAATTGGCATTGCTCAACATTTCCATAACTGTTGTTTTGAATGAAGTACAACGAACATATGTTATGATAATTTTTTGATTCTCTCACACATAAAAGTTATTCATTTATAATAATAATTTGTCCCAAATACGGACATGTCCTCTCGTTTTCAATTAGGTTGGGATCCAAAAATTAGGAGATCGAAAAATAGTTGATGATTGTATTTTTTATTTTCTTTATCGCTTGGAGCGCACGAAATTGAATTCTCCTATAATGTTCAAAGAACATCGTGCGTTCCTAGGGAGGATAGGGACAGGAGGTCGGTATTGGAATTTTTTTTGATTTTCTGGAGATTGTATGTTGTTGGGAATACTTCCTCAGGCAATGAATTCCAGAGCCTAGCCGTTCTATGGATGAAGGAGTTTTGATGGAGTGCTGTTCGACATCTTTCGAGGTTGACAACGAACGGATGTGCTGACTGGGCTCGTCTAGTTCGTCTGACTGGTATTGCTAGTGAAGGGATGATAGCAGAGATTTCCGAAGAACATTTCCCGTGGAAGTATCGATAGAAAAGTGAAAGGTCGCCGACCTTTCCACGGTGTTCCAATGATGTCAAAGAGTGAGTGAGTGAGTGAGTGTGGCGTCACCCACCAGGCGAATGGCTCTTCTCTAGACGGAATCTAAGAGCATCAGCGTATGTTTTGGTGCTGAACCCCATATGTGGGAACAGTATTCTAGAACAGGCCGTATCTGCGCTTTGTAGATCATGAGAAGTTGTTGAGGTGTAAAGTAGCTTTTCGCACGGAAAAAGAATCCGAGTTTTTGTGAAGCAGCTTTTGCGATGGATCTTACATGATTATCCCATGAAAGAGTGTTGCTGATGGAAATACCGAGCATAGATATGGTGGGCTTGGTGGAGATGGTGGTGCCAGACATCACAATGTCGGGCATACTGAGTTCCGCCGCCTTCCTAGAGAAAATACAGGCTTGAGTTTTGGTGGCGTTGAATTCAAATAGGTTGTTGGTTCCCCATGTTGTGATTTCAGAAAGGTCATCAATACCAGCATTGACCTGCCTGCGCCGTGATTTCTTTGTTTCCTGGGAAGAAATGGGAATTCTGGAAGAAAACGCAGTATGGAGGTTACTATCATCTGCAAAGCTGTGGATGGGGCATGTTGTTACTCCCAACAAATCAGTGATATGAAGAAGGAATAATGTTGGTGCCATAATTGATCCTTATGAAACGCCGGAATTGATGCCAATGGTATCAGACGATACACCGTCCACCACCACGTGAAGCGATCTGCCTGAAAGAAAACTTGATAAGAAATGGCATAGGTGAGGTGGTAAGCCGTATGATGGTAGTTTGTGGAGGAGTCCTTCGTGCCAAACACGGTCGAATGCTTTCGATATGTCCAACGCGACAGCTAGAGATTCCCCGTATTTTTTTACTGAAGCTTGCCATAAATGGGTGACGTAGCCAAGTAGATCTCCAGTAGATCTTCGGTTGCGAAAGCCGTATTGTATATCATTGATGATACATGACTTCTCCAGATATTTGATAAGCTCAATATTGATGACTTTCTCCATTACTTTGGAGACTACTGATAACAGGGCAATGGGCCTGTAGTTGTTGGGCAGGTTCTTATTACCTTTTTTAGGAAATGGTTGGACTCTAGTTGTCTTCCAGCATAATGGAAAAATATCCGACCTGTACGAGACGGTGAACAACTTGCAGAGAATTGGTGTTAATCCTGGTGCACATTTTTTGAGGGTATAATGGGTGGAATTCCATCAGGCCCGTAAGCCTTATTCGTGTTGAGACCAAGCAAAATTCGTCTGATAGTGCGTTGACGGAAGACGATTTCGGGCATTCGACTCTCGACGGGTGGAATGTCTGGCGGCACTTTTCGTTTGGAATCTGAAGTAGAGTTTTCTGCGAACATCTCTGCAAAAATATTTGCTTTCTCTGTAACGTTACGAAATGACCGTTACCTAACACTAACACCAATTACGTTACTTGAGCCTCTGTCGTCGAACAGGAAGCATTTGCCGGT